CTGCCATAAAAAAAGAGTTTTCATGTTTCTCCCAAGGGAGCTGTGGGGCAGCGATGACCTTAAAGGCTTCCTTCTACAAGGGATTGTGCAATGGATGTGCTTACATAGACCATTTCAGGACCTGCATCGTGGAGCAAATACCCAGTGATGGACATACCCCGCTGCTGCTCTGGAACTACCCAGAGCACCAACCTGGCTGTGTGGAAGGTTAAAACCTAAGATTATGGGCATGGCAAGTCCTACTTCTTTGAAGGACTCGTACGAGACCCAGCAAGGTGCCTACACATCACTACTCCTGGAGTCAAGCTCCAAGACTGTGCGGCTCCAGCCCCAGCTGCAGTTCAAAGACAGATTCCTCCCCGGTAGACACTGGTAGTGAACAACTTACACTCTGCTTGGAAACAGATGCTCCTTCCCGTTTTAAAATTTCCTTTTGAGTAATCGCTGTTGTAATGAAATCCTGGAGGGCGAGCAGGACCCCTGCTGTGCTCTGCACATATACAGAAATAGTCCCTATGCCAATAGCTTATGACTTCTGTAGATAAGGCAGGACATAGGTGGAAAAGAGGCAGTTTTATTTCCAACCTGCTGGCACAGAGCTGTAGGACAGCAAGATTAAGCCACACAGTTGTGACTAGCATGTGGTCGCCCAGAGACCCTGTGGCAGAGCGGGGGGGTTGAACACAAACTCCTGCCTCCTGCACAAGTGCTTTGGCCACGGTCACAGTTTCTCCACGTCAAACTGTGGTTCAAAGGACGGATTGGGGCATGGGGTGGGAAACTTCTAGCACCCTCGGCTACAAAATAACAGAGCACATCAAAAAGCAGAGGGAGTGTGTTCACATCTGACCTCCCCTTTCTCTTCCTCTGACCTGTCAAACCTTCCTGGTCTTGCCTCCCCTGCAGTCTCCCTGGGGACCACTGAGGGATGCTGTGGATCAGAGATGCTCTTCAGAAATACACTGATTGTCTGACGCTGTCTTGCCAGTGAGTGCAGAAACAATTCCCAGGCCAGGAGAGAATCATTTCATCCTCTTCTTTTTTTTCTTCTTTTTTCCCTTTTGATGTCGCTTCATAACAAAACCCTTTTTACCAGAGTAACCTATTTGCACTGGGAGATTTTAACAACTAACCCAATTAAGCCCAATTCTTCTGTTCAAATCAAATCATGCCGGCATTTGATACTTTCTCAAGAACAAATGGAACGGGTTTATTTTTAGCCTCTGATGACTCTCCACCTTTTTCCTTCCTTTGCAAATTAACAACTGCAACGAAACCCTTCTGGTTTTGAACCCTAGCAGGGCTCAGTCCCTGAGACATGCCTTTTCCTTTTGAGCACTGTGCAGGCATCAGCCCCTGCGGAAAGAGAAGAAAAGATTGGGCTTGTTCTTCCAGGGCCCCAGCTGGCACACACTGAAGCTGAACTAAACCTGCATCGCTCTGTAGACACCACTAGACAACCCGGTGCTAAGATTTTCTGTGGCGAGGGAGAGCTTTGTGGCTGAGTTAGAGGAGACTCTCACACGCCACTGGTAATTGAGAGGCACAGCTTGTAAGGAAAGGTGATGTCTTTTATTAGAGGATAGCTGGTGATAGGATAGGAGTGAATATGCTGTCTCAGGCACGCAGCCTCTTTCTCTGTTATCTTCGAGCTAAACAGGCTGAAACTTCCACTCTGAAGTGCTTCGGCTTTTATCTTTGTCTTCAGCAGTCTGCAAGGGACTCTCAGGGTTAGCTGTCCTCAACATGGCAGATCTGCCCCCAGAAACATCTGCACCAAACCTGTTACCTCTGTGCCAAGCTCCAGCCTGTCTTTTAGGGAGACACCCCTTTTCACTAGGACCACCAGGATGATGCCATAAGAATCTCTTCTGTCTCTCACTGAGATGCTCTGATAATTAATTACCCTTTCGGTCAAAAATCAGGGCCCATTATGATCAAGGCAGTCTGACTGCCAACATCACATAGGCCATTGATTCCCCACCAGCAATTTTACCAGGCGCTTCAACTGACACAGAGCAAGAAAATAAAAATGGTGCACAAGCCTTTTTTCTGGCCTCTTTATACTGTGTGAGAGACAGACAGAAGCATTCCCACTTGCAAGTATTTGCTCCTGCTTATTTTTCACATTAAACCCCAGGTTTTCCCCTGTCCTACAGCTCACTTGCCCTCCATTCAGGCTTTTGCACCCTTTTTCTCAAATGGATGCTGCTGCCATGGCTGTAGCTGGAGAAGGGTGAGACTGGGTAAGGCTCTGAGAGATGTAAACGCATCTGTCTTTTTTAAAAATTAAGTGGTGTGGAGGTCTCCTGGAGGCTAGGTGAAGGGTGGGAAACCACTGCAGCATCCTCAATACTCAACTACGTTATGGACTCAAGAATCTGATATCAATTTTTGCTATCAAAGAGTGTGTTTTTTCCTCTTATGGCTCTATGGCAATGCAAAGATGAAAAACATGAAGGCTAGACTGGTGGGACTTACCAAACATTCACTGAAATCTGCATGGTTACACTGGCTTTGGCAAGAATTAAATCAAGCCCTTGATGTATCTTGTACCTGAGTTATGGGCAGGGTCCAACTAGATCACAACTCCTTGTTGCATTCAGCTCTCTGACACA